GCAGCCCAGCACGTTCACATTGGGGCACAATACGCGACGGCCCTTGCGTCCCTTTGCTTTGCCACCCGTCTGCGGACCTGTGCGCGTGCTGCTCCTGTTGCCGACGCAGCGTCTCCTGCAGCGCCAGCTCTGCCTGCTCCAGCTCCTCAGTGCGGCCGCGCAGCTGCTGCTCGCTCTGCTGAAGCTCGGCGGCGCGCTGGCGCAGCGCCGGCAGCGCAGCCCGCCCCTCGGCGGCGGCACTCAGCTCGCGGCGCGCGCCGTCCAGCTCGCGCAGCAGCTCCTCCTGGTCGCGCAGCTCGAGCCGCAGCCGCTCGGCTGCGCGCTCCTCTTCGCGCAGCCGGATGCTCTGCTCGCGCTCCCGCCGCTCCAGCCGGTACACCTGACGAGAGGCAATGGCGTCAGCTGATGTGGCTGAAGGCCGGCAGTGGCGTCAGCTGATGCAGCACAGAACCGCTGAAGACGGCCAGTAAAGTCCTTACGGGTAAATACAAATTACACACATTTTTGGCTAAAGCCAGCCATAGCAGACTCACGAAACACCTGGACGAAGCTCAGGATAAATATCTCAATATATGATATTTGTGAAATATGACAAACCAGCTCCATCGCAGTCTAACATGGCCTTTCTCGATGAATAGAGGTCCTGAGCTGGGCCCACATCATGTTAGCCTTGCATCTCGATTGAGTGTGATGTCACCGTATTTAAAGCGGACAATGAAAAATCCGTCCTCTGAAAACAATCAGTCTCTTTCCGAATTTCCTGAAGGTCAAAAGATATTGTAGGAACTGTAAATGTGCGAATTTGTGTACCTTTTCCTTCAGCTTCAAGTCTTCATTTTCCGTTTCGATCAGCTTGTCCAGCAGCTCAGCCACCCTCTGCTGGTCGCGCTTGCCGGCGCCGCCGTAAAGCGCCTGCTTCAGCTTCTCCTCGGTGCCCTCCATGAAGTTGATCCTATTCTTGCTTTCACGCAGTTGGTCCTCCAGCTCCTCGATGTTCTTCTGGTATCGCAGCTCGACGCTGTGCATGATGCGGTCGGCCTCCTCCAAGGTCTCGCGGTAGGCGCCCTCTTTTTTCTCTAACTCGTCCGCGTGGGCAGCCAGTTGGGCCTGGGACCGCTTGGTCTCCCGCAGCCGCTGCAGCAGCGCCGCGTGGTCCGCCTCGTCGGTCGACCAACTGAGCTCCAGCTCGGCCGCCAACGTCGCCAGCATGTCATCAGCCGAGCGCAGTCGCCGCCGAAGCTCCGTCTGCTGCTCCTGTAGAGCTCCAGCTCCGTACTGTGGTTCTGCGTCAGCTGATGACGGCCCGCCTCGAAAGAGCTCAAGCCGCTGCTTCAGCTCGACCACCTGCTTTTCGTCAGGGGATCGCCGGAGAGCGTCTGTTTCTGATGGCTTGTGTCTGCTCCTGATGCGGCTGATCACGATTGTGCGGCGCACTCGGCTCGTCCGCACCCCACACTGTCTTCACCGCACCCTCGCTGTGTTGCCAGCACCTGGAGAGCCTTGGCGAAGTAGCCGTCCTGATCGGGGCCGCCCAGGAAGAGCAGTGAGTCACCTGGCGACGCCGTCGTCGACACGCAGCCGAGCTCTCTGCTGCAGGCGCTGCATCGGAGCGGCTCGCCGGCCGGCGCCTCGTCCGCTGGCCGCGAGAGCTGCGCCGTCAGGGCGGCGGTCGAGCCTTGCAGGCCCGCCGGGCCCGCCTCCGACACCGCCGCCACGTCCGACGCGTGCGAGAGCTCCTCGCCGACGCCGCTGTCGCTAAAGCTGGACAGCTTCTCGGCCTGCTCGGCAGTCAGCAGCGGCGGCGAGCCGGTCGGACGCTGCTGCTCGTCCGGTGAGCCGTCCGAGTGTGGCCGCGCTTTGGGCGAGGCCGCCGTCGGACCGGGCGTCACCGGCTGTCGGGCCGACGCGCCGCCGCTGGCCGGCCGGTGCAGCCGCGCGCGCAG